CGGCTTTTTTAAATCGGCTTTAACTTTTACTGATTGCTCACCATGTCGTGCTATATAAATAACACCATCATATGTTATGCATCTGTAGTGGGACAGGGTTCGAGTAGTGAATGCAGCGGAAGCTAATGTCATGAAACAAACAATAAACAAGATATCATTTGATACTTTTTATTATAAACTAAACAACAATGGAATCTGGAAATGTGAATTGTGCCCTTAATTTCTCAAATGATTGATTTGCCCAAAATACTAAATAGAAATCATGAAATTTATACACCAATGTCTATTTCGCAAACAACGGAATGAATTAAAACACTGGTGAATCGATTCATCGATCCTGTACAGTACGTTGACCTACAATTAAAAACGAAATCACCGAATTCTTCCTCACCAATCAAGTGACCAAATTCAGCGCTCCCCACAGCTAAGCGACAAGTAGATATTGATTATACTAATTTCCCCCCGAATCCAAATCGGAACTTTACTAAACAACATTCTAGAAAACGACTTAAACATGCATTATGCAAGAGCTAAATCTGATTATTGCAAGTCTTAATTTAGGCTTCAGATGTTATAGAAATTATAAATTAGATCTTTATTTAAATGAAATGAAATGAAATGTTGTTTAATGGCACGTCAGCTCCAACCGGGGTATATTGCGCCAAACATATGGTGAATCTAACAAGACAAATTAAAACAATATCACATAATTGAATTTATATATGTAAATAAAAACAAATATCACAGAAAATATATAATTAAAAATAAATATAACAAATCTTTTACATATATAAATATTTAAAACAATATACATGATTAAATAGATCTTTATTTAAACAACAAGACCAAAATCAACTCTGTAGACCCACGGATGGCTCGGCTACAGCTCGGATTTAAATAGGATTTCACTAATTGATTAAATCAGATAAGGGGTAACCTGATGAAAATACGTCAGTTAGATCGAGGCTAAATGATAGAGTGTACTTAGCGAGGCCGCTGTAAAGCGTTTCCGTATGCCATTGAAAACTTGACTTAATAATCGAGATATGTAGGTGGAGTTAACGCCTGTCAATCAAACGTTCGTCGAAGGTGAAGACACATTTCGCTACCATTCTAGGCAAATATTACAACGATGATAACTATGTTCAGAATAAAGTAATTTGACTGAATTTTTCAATATATTCTTCTTTCATCATCTACTTTTGAACTGTTATAGCAAGAATGGCCAACTCTCTATAAATATCTCCCATAATGTATCTTTAATGAATGGATCAAAACAATTTTTTGTGAACATTTATAATGTGGAGGTACATTGCCGTCGCCCGTGTGTGTGTATGTCGGTATTTGTGTGTCTGTGGGTCGCCTACAGGGCACAATTCTTAATGGATTGACTTGAAACTTTGCATACTTGCGAGGGGTGATTGATAAGTAGTGAATCTAACACAGAAAGAAACAAGAAATTCAAATCAAATGCATTTATTTTTCAACATAGTCCACCTTCAATGTAATACACTTCTGCCATCGGTGTTGCAGAGCCTTTATTCCAGTTCTGTGGAAGTCTTTGTCTTGGGTGTGTAACAAAATTATCCATAGCGCCAATGACGTCAGTGTCAGACGGGAAATGCCTACTGGAAGGAAAGACATTTCTTCAGAACAGGAAACAGATAGAAGTCCGAGGGAGCTAAATCAGGAGAGTAGGGTGGATGCTGAAGAAGTTGAAAACCACAGTCATAGATTGCTGACTTGGAAACAGCTGATTTGTGCACTGGCGGATTGTCCTGCTGGAAAATCACACCTTTGTTTAGCTTTAATCGTTTTTTGGTCTTAATTTCTTGCCTCAACTGCCTTATAAGTGTTGCATAGTATCTACCGTTAATTGTTTGACCCTTTTGGAGGTAATCCACCATGAAAACACCATCAGAATCCCAGAATACTGAGTCCGTCATCTTTCCTGCCGATGAAACGCTCTTTGCCTTCTTTGGGGTAGGCGACGTCACATGTTTCCACTGTTTTGGCTGCTCTTTTGTTTCTGCCTGAAAGTGGTGGACCTAAGTTTCATCCATAGTAACAATTTGTTTTAGGAAGCGGTCAGGATCGGTTTCAAATAAGGCTAGATTCTCTTCTGACATGATGTGTCTTGAACGCTTTTGATCAGGCGTCAAAAGCTTTGGCACCCATCGTGCTGAAACCTTTGTCATTTCCAAAGTTTCAGTGATAATAGAATGAACTCTCTCCTTGCTAATACCAATTACTCCAGCTATGAATCGTTCAGTAACTCGCCGGTCATTCATTATCAGATCATGGATTTTTCGTACCATTTCAGGTGTTGACACAAATTTGGTTGACCAGGGCGTGGTTCGTCTTCAATGCTGTCTCGGCCACGCTTGGATTCAACTGACGACCTTTGAAGTGTGGCATATGAAGGAGCATCATCTCCTAATGTCTCAACCATATCATCATGTATGGCTTTCGATGTTAGACCCTTTTTTATGCAGATACTTAATCACAGTTCTCGCCTCGATATGGTCCATTTTCTGATAACAACAGACCCTACCTGATTGTTATGACCTGTCACAACCAAACAGTTTAACCGAATGTGATGAAAGTTTGTGACAGAGCCCGAGGAACATAATAGTGCACGTGCAAAACGTGGTATCATTGTGTTGCACGGTTTTCTAATCGAGGTTCACTACTTATCAATCACCCCTCGTATTCCTTATACCACAAGGATGGCCCCTATTGTTTATGGTGCATACCACGCTCAGGCAATTATGGATTTTGGCTCTAAAAAGCATAATGTAAGATCCACAGCCTTCCGTTCCTGGGTTATCCTTTTTTGCCGGAAACTGTGTGAACACAATAGGGGGGGGGGGGAGATTTTAACAGATTAGCTTTCTTCAGGGAGCCTACATCCTTATCAAATTTGCTCTCTTCAGGGAGCCTACATCCTTATCAAATTTGCTCAACATCCAAGTTGTCCTTTCGGATAGGTTGCAGCTGCTGTGTGGGCGTATTCCACGTTTTACGTGGCTATCATTTAAAGGCTCAATACCACTCTTGTTGTAACTGAATAATATGTCCCAATCTTTATTCTGGTCAACAAATTGTACTATTTTACAATATTCCAATTAATTGATGATACAAATTTCATCATAAAACACCTAATTCAAAAAATTGGAAAAATTCAACTATATGATTTAGAAAAAGCCTGACGTAAAGCTTTTCAAATGTGACTTGGATTTAAAAATATTTTCGAACCCTCTGGACAAGTAAAATAGGATGTAATGGATAATTTACACAACAGGTAGAACACTAACACATCTAGTACTTAGAATAAGGGTATTTTTTTATTTTCTGGAGCTGTCAAGCTAGCAAGAGTGTTATTAGCTCTTTAATTACATTATTAAATGGCGGTCGTGTAGACGTATAAAAATGTAATCCTTTAGTGGCATTTAGCAATTGGAAACATAACAAAACTATACAGTTATATGGGACAACAATCACTGGTTTATTATACACAAGCACGACGTTTCGATAAGTATTCTCTTATCGTTATCAAGCACAATGACATTTAGTAAACTTGAGGGTCTATGAGGCAGTTAAGTGTGTACGCCAGCTTAGTAAACTAGAAGGGAAATATATTCGTACATATATATAGACCCTCAAGTTTACTAAATGTCATTGTGCTTGATAACGATAAGAGAATACTTATCGAAACGTCGTGCTTGTGTATAATAAACCAGTGATTGTTGTCCCATATAACTGTATAGTTTTGGTATAAAAATGTGATTCTCAGATGCAACAAAATTGAAATCCAGGTATGTTTTAATCCTCTGGTAGCCCTGATTTAACAATATGGCCTTTTACTTACTTTGTTGAGTTGATAGTGCAAAGGGTCGCCAGTTTGGTCATTGAATCACCTATAATATGTTGACTGAAATAGACAAGGACTGTGCAATCTCTTACCATTTGCTGCCCCGTGGAATGGAAATCGTCTAAATGTGAAAAACAATATAAAAAGAATGAAATGGGGTTTAACGTCCTACTCCTATACTGGGCTAATGAAGACGGGCATACGCCATACAGTGTGCTATGAGGGAAATTTTGCCCGGGCAGCGGCACTATCGCCTACTCTTATATCGAATTCCAACTGCCAAGGGATTTTTTACGTGCATTCCAATATATACACGGGACCTCGGTTTTTCGTCTCATCCGAAGGACTAGACAGCTGTCCTTGTCAGGCCCTCCGTTCTGCACAAACAAAGGCTCTAGCTGAAACGTGAATGATTTGATTTGATCCCATTATTAGATAGACTCCGTCTGCTCTTGAGAAAAATAACGAATGAGAAAGTATTAATGTCTGGTTCATACGCTGGATTTGTGAAAATTCATTCGGACAAATCGCACTTGGTTTCCACGGTGAAAATTGTGTGGCGTCATATAAGCCTGTGACGCATCCTGGCGAAAGTTTTGGTGGTAATTTATTGCATTTCGAATGGTATCGCGTAACGTCGATAACTTTCAAACCCCTAGGTCAGCGATTCTCAACTAGTGTGCCGTGGAATTTTAAACGGCACACTTGGAAAATGCCTAAAACCATGTGATTCAATTGAGTCTACTGGGAAGTTCATAGCTATGTTTTTCTTTATTTAGTTTTAGTCATTCTGTGTGTCTATGGTTGTATGCCATCTATGACTTGCCAAGTTTTTATTTCGCAAAATTCAAATATTTTTCATATATTTTTAGCCAGGTGTGCCGCTAATGTGTTTCATGTGAACCATTGTCCTAGGTAGATTTGGAATATGATCCACAGGGGCAGTTCCTTTACAGTTTGGTACCAAAACACTTCTAAATGAATAAGTGGTGTGTGTAACAGCATGCCTCTATCGCTGAAGCAGCCAAATAATATTGACAGAGGAATGATGCTCTGCGGACGAATACTCTGAAGTCAATGCTTTCTACACTGAAACATTTAGCGAAATATAAACAATGACGTGTAGTTCTTCAATGTAATAAACTTTATATATTAAATAACAGCTACAAATATAAACAGTTCACACATCAGCTTACACAAATCAGGTCGCATACGCATGGGCCTACATAGCCTAATGAGAGAATTCGAATACGGATGAATTCCTCTTTTAATTCTGATTATAATCAACGTGCTACATATTATACTGAAGACACCATGGCTGAATATTACTCATTACTGACGATGCTGAATAATACTTGATTACATGCTGAATATTATATTCTGAAGCTTTCACTGAATATTACATGTACATTCTGAAGATTTCACTAAACATTACGTGAAAACTGAAATAAGAAAAATACATCGGATTACCATGCAGTACTGATTGACTAACTTTAATGACAACAATGAACACAACGTAAACAATACGTAGCCCTGTTCAAAGGCCAAGGACGATGACACTGACAGACGACAGCGGACGACAGCGCTGTCTCCACGAATTATAAACCTGACTTAATATGACTAAAACATTGCCTGGCAAAGCACACAATAATACTGACATGTACTTAAACATACAATAAACATATTAGCATACTATAAATATATAAATTATGTGTTTATAAAACGTAATAACCTTTTTGACTTCACCCCTTTCCCGATTTCATGCATTTGGCTGCCATGATGATCTACGAAAGACCACGTATTTTGAGGGAAGCTTATTAGGTAAACATAATAAACTTAACTAAATGCCTATAATCATAATTTGATTCCCTGAATAAATATCTACATATTTAATACTCAAACTAATAATATATAAACTATGATATTATACAAGCTTAAGACGTAAAGGCAAAATTAAAGAGAAACAACAAACAACATCAATTAATTCTCCCTTTAATAGGAAATTAGCCGACAAACAGCCAGTAGACAAAGTTAGCAATCGGAACACTTCGTCTATCGCACGACTACCGTTACATGGCTCCCCAAAATTAGGAACTAATTTTCAATTAATCTACGAACAAAGAAAAAGCAGAGATATAAAAGTAAACCAAATAACTAAACGGTTAAGCATAACAGTTTGATAGTTCTACTGAAAGTCTGTGGCTCCTCGATGGGGAATCCCGGTTTACTCATGTTCCAAAATTAATATCAGTTTCTGAATAGGACGTTCAAGAACACTTCTCGGATAGACACGTTTCCCTTTCGCATTAAGCTTCTTATCACCAACTAAAAGTTTGACAGTTCGCACATGATTATCTTTATCTTTACTGAGCAATATTGCTTTAAATCTTAAACATAAGGCTATCACTCGTTTGGCTTTAAACCAGTCTGAAATGTGATTCAAACGAGAAAGTTCAAAACATGGTTTTGCATTTGTAGCTAAACTCTGTACCTTCTTAAGTTCAGGATCATCAGAAGATATATTTACATGCATTTCTTCAGGATTGTCAGATGTACTAGGTAATTGTGATTTCCATAAAAAGTCTGGTCCGATGAACCATTTAGTCGCATTGAGCTCTTCTGCAGTAACGCCCCTTGATGCTAGATCTGCTAAATTATCTTTCGATTTAATGTACCTCCACTGAGTAGGATTACTTGACTCTCGTATCTGCTGTATACGATTCGCAACGAACATTTGAAATCTTCTTGCATCATTGTTAATATAACCTAACACTACTTTACTATCTGACCAAAATACTTCAGTTAAATTACTATAGTTCAATTCACGTCTTAACTGCAAACTAACTCTTACCGACACTAAAGCTGCAGCTAATTCTAAACGGGGAATTGTTATTGGTTTAAGAGGTGTCACTCGAGATTTACTCATTACTAATGAACAAGATACATTGCTATTATTGTCAATCAATCTCAAATACGAACATTGTCCGTAACCGAACGTTGACGCGTCTGAAAAATGATGTAATTCATTTACCACAATATCACCAAAGTCTTTGGGTTTATAACAACGTTCTATTTTCACGTCTGCAAGTTGAGATAAGCTAGATCTCCATTTTTCCCATTGGAATCTCAATATATCCGGAATGTCACTGTCCCAATCGTTATGAGCTCTACAGAGTTCCTGCAAGATTTGTTTACCAACTAAAATAACTGGCGAAATAAGTCCTAACGGATCATAGATCGAGGAAACAGTTGACAAAATTCCACGTCTGGTGAGTGGCTGATCTTTGAGACATATACGAAACTGAAAAGTGTCGGATTCAATGCACCACTGTAAACCAAGACATCTCTCAACAGGTGAATCTTCGAAGAAAAGGTCATGATTCTGAAGAACCTTTGCACGATCCACAACCGGAACTGATTCGATCACTGTGTTAGAATTTGACAAAAATTTATGAAGTCTCAATCCGCACTTGGCTAACAGTTTTTTGGTATTTTCAATCAGCGAAATTGCTTCTTCGTCAGTTTTGACTGACAACAAACCATCATCAACATAGAAATTATTTCGCACGAAATTAGCAGCTTCTGATCCAAATTCCATTTCAAAATCATTTGCAGCTTGCTTTAGCCCAAAGTTCGCACAACCTGGTGACGAGGTAGCACCAAATAAATGCACAGTCATTCTGAAATCGGCAGGCTTATCATCTCCCTTATTCCACCATAAAAATCTGAGAAAATCACGATCTTGTTTTTCCACATTAAACTGGTAGAACATTTGCTCAATATCACAGATAATGGCTACATTCTCCATTCTAAATCGACATAATACACCGAACAAACTATTGGTTAGATCGGACCCATTTAACAAATGATCATTAAGCGAAACATCCTTAAATTTCGAATTACAGTCGAAAACGACTCGAATTTTACCAGGCTTTTTTGCATGATAAACTGCATGATGTGGTATATACCAAATCTGTCCAATATTACAAAGTTCATGCGCAGAAATCGGTTCGGCGTAATTCTTTTCGATAATCTCATTCATGAATTTACTGTAATCTTGCTTAAAATTTATGTCTTTTGTAAAACGATTTACCAAAGGTGTCAAACGATTTTCTGCCACAATGCGATTATTCGGAAGCGTTGGTTTAGATCCACGGAAAGGTAAAGGCATTTCATAATGACTGTTTTCATTTAAGCGAATTGATGAGTTCATCTTAAGTACAAATTGATTATCTTCATGAGAACAACCAGAGTCATTATTATTACGATCACTGAAGTCTATCTCCATCATTTTCAGTATGTCAACAGGATTAATAATTTCTCGGATGTGTGTTTTAAAGGAAACAACAATATCACTTGAAGTTAGTGATTGTTCTGATTTATTATTACATGATGTTCGAACTTGAAATGTCTGACTACTACAGCCTATTGAATCCAAATTTTCTGACGCACATTGATCTATAATGCCAACTACACCCCATCCTAAGTCAGTTCTCTGGGCGTAAGGACCATTTCCCGAATGAGGTATTACTTCTCTAGGTGTAAGAGCTTTAGGACAATTATAACCTATTAAAAGGGCAATCTCGCAATTCAGAATAGGAGGAAGTTGATCTGCTATACAGTGTAAGTGAGGCCAACGTCTAGCCATGTCGGAATTAGGAATATGACTTCTATTCGCCGGCATTATTCTTCTGGAATAAACTGGAGGTAGATTGATGATTATATTACTGTCATATCCTCGAACACACAAACCCGGAACTTTACGACTATTTATTATCTGATTTTCAGCAGTCATTGTTGAAAGTGAAAGCTGGATTTGTTGTCCATCAACACCAAGAGAATCTAACAAAGTGTCTAAAACAAAAGTATTGTCCGACTGAGTATCAAGCAATGCATAAACTAAACGTTCTCTGTCTTCAAAGGATATCCACACAGGTACAATCATTGCGCTTTTATTACCAACGTCGTACCAGTCAACTTTAATACTATGCGCAACGGAAGACCTTGCAACTGGATCGTTTCTTTCCGGAACATCACCATGAAGAGAAGTTGGGTGCCTTTTATGACAGATATTACACCACAATCTGCTTCGACAAAATACTGACATGTGACCCGAGCTTAAACAGCCAAAACACAGGCGATTATTTGCAATGTACTCCTTTCTATCTTTCAAATTCTTCTTTAAAAATTCAGAACATGTGTCCAAGTGATGCTGACCTTTACAAACGGTACACGGTTTTCGTTCGGAGCGATTAAACTGACGATTTTCACGAGTTTCCAAAGCATGAGCCGTTGCAGCTCTCCTAGGTTCATATGGATTACTTCGATTTGAGTTTGACTTATAACTACAGGACGTAACTGGATCGCAAGCGATATCTGCCTCTCTTGATAAATATTTTACAAATTCCCTAAAGGGAGGAAACTGCTGATATTTCTGCTTATAGTCGTGCACGATACGAGCCCAACAATTGACTAAATAATCTGGTAACTTAATCAAAAGTTTCTTATTTTCTCGTGGATCATCGAGAACTTTAAGACTATCAATAGAGTTCATACCAGATTCACACTGTCTGAGAAAGTCTGCAAATTTTCGAAGTGCCAAACCATCGCGAGGATATATCTTCGGCCAACTTTCTAGCTTGTCGCGAAAAGCTTGCGAAATAATAAAGGGATTACCGAATCTTTCTTCTAATAAGGACTTTGCATCTTCAAAGGCGTTATCAGTTTGTAATAAAAAGTAACTCTCAACGGATTCACGTGCAACACCACTTAAATATTTTTTAAGATAAAACATTTTTTCGACCGGTTGAATATTCTTGTGTTCTATCAAAGAACGAAACCCAGATTTCCATGTTGGATACTTCAATGGATCGCCAGAAAATATTATAGGTTCAGGAGCTGGCAATTTACTTAAATTAACTTGTTCTGCAAACATTTTAGCAATTGATGATAAAGTTTCATTGTTACTAATGTTACCACCACAATTTTCCACTGAAACTTCAGTTGGCGAATATCTTGAGTCAGGAATGTTATTAATGTAACTTTGAACATATTGATTTACATCTTGATTAGCAGTAGGTAGAGGTACATGTACAAAATTACGTTGACGATCTTGACGCGCATTAATTTCAGGAGCATTGTGACTACATGTATTATGACGGCTTTTATCAGATTCACTACTGTCAGTCAAGACACAACTGTCTTCTCTTTCAACTTGATCTAAGGCTTGAAGTTTAGCTTCCGCCATATCCAAATCTCGTATCATCTGAATACGTGTAAGTTCTGACTGTTTCCTGGTTTCTTCCTCTAGATATTTGAGTTTTACTTTAAGTGCAGCAGCTTCAATAGCTATGTCAGCTTTTACAGAGTGCGACCGCGATGCAGCACTTCGTGTTTGAAGAGATCTCTTTGATGAAGAATGATGAGATGATTTTATCTTGTAGGTATCATTACCACCGGATGCCATTGTACTTGTATATAATTTATCCGAAATCGAAATCACCGATAATATACTGCTTATTAGAAATATTGTCAATGGTAAAGTTGCTGAATACATAACACCAGTCTCTTCTCAGTATGCGATATGAAGTGTCTACTCATATAACGCAAATGAATTAAAAGTTCGCCTACTTATAAACGAATGTGAATAAAGTTTTCACTGTAACAGCATGCCTCTATCGCTGAAGCAGCCAAATAATATTGACAGAGGAATGATGCTCTGCGGACGAATACTCTGAAGTCAATGCTTTCTACACTGAAACATTTAGCGAAATATAAACAACGACGTGTAGTTCTTCAATGTAATAAACTTTATATATTAAATAACAGCTACAAATATAAACAGTTCACACATCAGCTTACACAAATCAGGTCGCATACGCATGGGCCTACATAGCCTAATGAGAGAATTCGAATACGGATGAATTCCTCTTTTAATTCTGATTATAATCAACGTGCTACATATTATACTGAAGACACCATGGCTGAATATTACTCATTACTGACGATGCTGAATAATACTTGATTACATGCTGAATATTATATTCTGAAGCTTTCACTGAATATTACATGTACATTCTGAAGATTTCACTAAACATTACGTGAAAACTGAAATAAGAAAAATACATCGGATTACCATGCAGTACTGATTGACTAACTTTAATGACAACAATGAACACAACGTAAACAATACGTAGCCCTGTTCAAAGGCCAAGGACGATGACACTGACAGACGACAGCGGACGACAGCGCTGTCTCCACGAATTATAAACCTGACTTAATATGACTAAAACATTGCCTGGCAAAGCACACAATAATACTGACATGTACTTAAACATACAATAAACATATTAGCATACTATAAATATATAAATTATGTGTTTATAAAACGTAATAACCTTTTTGACTTCACCCCTTTCCCGATTTCATGCATTTGGCTGCCATGATGATCTACGAAAGACCACGTATTTTGAGGGAAGCTTATTAGGTAAACATAATAAACTTAACTAAATGCCTATAATCATAATTTGATTCCCTGAATAAATATCTACATATTTAATACTCAAACTAATAATATATAAACTATGATATTATACAAGCTTAAGACGTAAAGGCAAAATTAAAGAGAAACAACAAACAACATCAATTAATTCTCCCTTTAATAGGAAATTAGCCGACAAACAGCCAGTAGACAAAGTTAGCAATCGGAACACTTCGTCTATCGCACGACTACCGTTACAGTGTGAGTATTTTGCCTAGACTACAACGAATTAATTAAGTTGAAGTTCATTATCGTGCATAGGCAGAAAGGAATTGCTTTAGCCGAACTACTTCTGGCTAGTGGAGAATAAAATCTCACAAACTCAACGTTTCGAAATTTGATGGCAATAACAATATAAAAGTGACGCCTAAATTCCTTTAGGGTTTCTCTATGTGGCTCGCCACTTGAATAAATCCAATGATTATTACAGCATTAATGTTAAAGGGGCAATAACTCAGCATAGAATTGGTGTGCTACTGGAAGCAGACCACATAAATTTATCCATTGACTTAAATGTTAATTCTTGCCTCTTTGGCCACCTTCAAGTTTTCCCAAAATATTCGTTTGGCTGAATGCTTTTCACTACAGACAGAGGAACAAATGGTCATATCTTTGCACTAAAATTTGTATGAGACTGACCACCAAAATATTGAGATACACAAACTTGAAGAAGCATACTAAAAACATGTAACTAGTTGCCGTACATATCACGTAACCAACCTCTGTTATCCTTCCGCCTCAAAATCATGAATATTTACCAAAACCTGGCAGAAAATTTTAATTCTAGACCAAAAAATCAACAAAAATGGGCATGCAAAAAGGGAAAAAGAAGATAGAGAGAGAATTGCTATAAATAGACGAACTACACCGAGATGGTGAAATTTAATGGTGGTCTGCCTCCAATTGGTGTAATGAAATGAAATGAAATGGGGTTTAACGTCCTACTCCTATGCTGGGCTAATGAAGACGGGCATACGCCATACAGTGTGCTATGAGGGAAATTTTGCCCGGGCAGCGGCACTATCGCCTACTCTTATATCGAATTCCAACTGCCAAGGGATCTTTTATGTGCATTGCAATGTATACACGGGACCTCGGTTTTTTGTCTCATTCGAAGGACTAGACAGCTGTCCTTGTCAGGTTATCATCTCCTATCAGATTAGTTCAATCTTTAATAATCACGTGTTAACCAGAGCACTAACAGGCACGTACAAACCTACCTTGATTTATAATTAAACATAATTCAATATATATAATATTATATACATTGCCTAATCACATCGGGAATGTGACCTTTTGACCTTACAGGCGCCAGGTTTTCCAAGTACGACATCGTACGGTATCGTTACAATATGTCGGATTACACAGAGTGTCGGAATACTTAGTTTTCTCAAAACCGGAAATATTGTAACTTCGAAAACCGGAAGTATTATTAAAATGTAGCTTCTTACATAGAACTTCGAATCACCAGAATGTTATTCCCTTTAAAAATGATAAACCTTTCTGTACATTCAAAATTTTATTACATTAATTTTTATTTCATTTAACATGCGTAGGCATTTTGAATAGGTCAAGTATGTCGTTAATTTATCTTCTTCGCCGTCTTCAGTTGATCGTACTCTTGTCTTTGCTATCACGTGTTCATTGATAATGGGCGTTCTCGATTGAACGTTCCGGAACTGAATTCTCTCAATCCCAAAAATAGTTACAATCGAAACCTGTTCGTCGTGTTTTATTACGTCACAATTCTACTCACGCCACCTCCGTCGTCGAGACTGACAGAAATGTTACAGGACTGAATTCCGGGTCACTCGATTGCAATTCTGTTAATGCGGGACGTTCCGGACTGTGACTCGAGCATCCCCAGGTCGTCGTCACACGGTTTGAAGAGATCCGTAGGGTGACCAAACGTAGAAGTCTTTAGCAATAGGAGGAAACCGGAGAAAACCCACAAGATTGGACAGGCGACCCTACTTCTTGTCACGTAAACTGGGGAATCGAAAACCACGCCAGTTGACTCAATGACAGATCTTATGATACAATGCGCACGCCCTAACCATTGGCCCATGCAGCCACCACAAAAAAGGGAGCATATTGACATTTCAGTTACAGTTTCTTAGTTTTCCAATATTATAGACATGTAATAGGGATTAACGTACAACTGGGTGCATGAAGACGAACATACGCCATACAAGGTACAATAACGGCAATTTTGCCCCAGCAGCGGGACCACGACTTACTCAAATATAGAAGTCCAACTATCAAGGGTTCTCTTACGTTCACATTTTGAAGATTTCCAAAGATAAGCCTAACCAGCCTAGATTATTTCTATTTCTTAAGAAGGAATATGGTAAATTTAAAAGATTGTTCCCAAGTGGGTGGTTTGATTATTTCCATTGACTATACTAGGACGAAGTAGGTGATCAGTTTTCCTTCACACGCGTGTCTTGGCAGAACGATGAAAATAGCGGGTAATCGATTGAACGTTCCGGAATTGAATCCTAAAAATAGTGACAATCGAGTGAAAAGGTGGATTTCGGGCTACAACGCATGCGTCGACTGAATAAGTAAATATCTCAACCAACCATGCCAGCTGAAACATATGCGTTGTGTTTAATTACGTCACGGTTCTACTCACGCCACCTCCGTTGTTGGGTCTGGCAGAACTGTGACAGGACTGAATTCCGCGTTACTCGATTGCAATTCTGTCAATTCGGGACGTTCTGGGCTGTGAATCGAGCATCCCCATAGTTCCTCTACCAGCCAAGAATAAAATAAATACTTTACGGGTTTTCTTACTGGAAAGGGGCATTATGGGAAGACTAGAATTGTGAAAGGAATTCGGTAGCAGTAGAGGCGGGTTGGGTGGCTTAATGGTTAGCACGTGCGCGCTGTTTCATAAAGTCTGTCATTGAGTTGACTGGCGTAGTTTCGATTCCCAGGTTGTACGTGACAAAAAGTAGGGTCGCCTGTCTAATCTCGTTGGTTTTCTCCGGGTCCTCCGGTTTCCTCCCACCGCTAAAGACCCCTACGCCCAAGCGAATTATGGAAATAAAATTGAACCATATGTTAGTCCCGAAATGACCAAGTTTGTGTCGAGTAGACGTTAAACCCCATTTCTCTCTGGTAGCAGTAGATAGAGTACACTGGCCTAGACTAAAGAAAAGGAGTGTTACCGATTTTTGAACAGGACAAGGGCATTCAGGGAACACCAGAATTTTCAAGCAATTTGGCAGCAGTGGACATAGAACGTACTGCCAAATCTTTATCAGAAATAAATAAAAAGGGTACTGATACCCGAAACGATATGGTCATTAAATAATCTCTACTCTCACCTAAGTCTGTTGTACTTTTGTTGTGCGGGGATTCTTAAAGATACATTATGGGAGATAAGATAAAGAGATGGCAGTTCTCGCTATAATTGTTAAAAACTAGATAGTGTAAAGGTAATTTGCTGAAAATTTCAGTCAAATTGATCCACTATGAGCCGAGAAAGAAGACGGTGAAATGTTTGCATAGTCTCGGTTATCATTACTAAAATCATTAATATAAACAGCATAGTCTCGATTATCCACTTTTTCTGATTTAATTATCTTTGGCCGTTAGCGGCATATAGGAATCTATCCAGCCTACATCGAAGGCTAGCCTTGACATCGAGAGTTTATTATGGTCTGGATAAGTTAATTAATGTCTAATTGATAATTTAGATAACATTTCAGGCCTAAAGAAAGACTTGTAATAAGCAGATTTTGCTCTTGCATAATGCATGTTTAAATTTATGAATAAAAAAACCGAAATGGCAAATAAAGCTACAAATGCGTATGGAAATTTCGAAAAATATCAAATTTTATTCAAGCAAGGAGTTTCTTTTACGAAGCAACAAAGATGTACGTTTTTTTAATGTAATACCTTTCCATGGGTAACTAACTAAAAGAACTACACCTAACAAGTGTAACTGATATTCATGACTACAGAACACCTGAATAGATTTATGGATACACTATACCACTACCAGTGTTATACTGCATTTACACCAAAGGGAGTAACTATTATTGGGGAATAATTCATAGAACAGCGTTTATTGGATTGCAAAAGTGTAATCGATATCCATGAGTACTGAACACCAGGATGGGTGTAATTGTAGCCGCTAAAGGGTGCTTGTAGGCCAGAAGCTCGGTGCGTTGGGGGGGTCCATCAAATGGGGCACAAAACCCGACCAAGCTTTTCTAGAGTAAGATTTTGCGTAAAATACGATGCCGAGTGGTACTCAGTCCGCCGTTGGGGTGTCTTCGAGATGTTCGCGGTCAAAGGTTATCATTTGCACTGAAAGTGAATGCGCAGCCATTCTTGTATCATGAAAACATACTGAAAATGATCGAATGTAATCAACATTTTAATAAAAATGTTAACTTTCTAAATTCACCTTAGTTCTTTGTGACTCTGGAGGCCAAAAGGTCAAATTTTCCGTTTTTGCACTAAGAAGATTTAAAGCAATAAAATGTTAGCGTAAAATATAAAAAAACTAAAGCTAAACCTGTTCTAATTAATAAAAGGAACATTTAAAACTTATCTTTAGGTGGTTTTAGCACCGTACATTTACTTTGGAACGTCGAAAAAGATCTTGCACGTATTAGTTTTATATTATAATGCAAATGACAGATCGAGCCTTTTAAGTACACCAAGGAACAATTTCAACCTGATATAAATGAAGAAAATTAGTTGGTTGATTAATAAAAACATATCGTGCATCAAACTGTGTGTTTGGTTCAGAGCAGCTGTTGATTGTGTAGATATTTAGTTCTGTACTACTTGTATCTTTGTAACACAGCGTTGATGCCGTGAAACCTGCCTGAGTACAGCCACCGCTTGCCGCTAGCATAATCTCAAATCCCCCAATTCTACCAGCCTTGTCTGGACCTAGAAGAAAAAAAAATATAAAAATATGGCTAACACATCTTGGGTCCTACTGATCCCAGGACGTGTCTATTGCACAATAACACCCATCCAAATGCGAAACAGAAGTGTTTATCTCCTAAGTGAACACTTTTTAAACTATTACCGGCATGTACCTAATGCACTCGAAATGAAATGGGGATTAACGTCCTACTGTTCTGCTTTAACTGGGCTAATGAAGACGGACATACGCCATACATTGTACCATGAGGGAAATTTCTTTTATCGAATTCCAACTGCCAAGGAATCTTTTACGTGCAAGCCAGTGCATACACGGGACCTCAGTTTTTCGCAAAACCCGAACGACTAGACAGCTAACCTTCTAAGGCCCTCCGCCACTAACAAGGGGAAATCACGCCGGAATATCCCGATGAACCCAATGCACTCGAGCGTTACATATAATGCGGCGTCTTCGTGCACACGGACAGCTAAACGTCAATGAATGCCAAACCGTACCTCCGATGTAGAAGGGACTGACATTGAATATGCACCGCTCACGTATTTCAACGAACAAAGCTGATTAGAAATAACAATAAATTTAATAATTAAAAAAATGAATGTAAATCAGTTCACATGCATTCATATTACAGGTGCTGTTTGATCCATTTTAGGCTACAAGATTATAGATTTAGCTCATCTAAATCCAATATTCTACTGTCCAAGTCCCCGATCAATAGTTTCGATTGTGCCAAAGACGTTGGCATTTCGCAAAACGAACCCACCTACTTAAATTTCAAATATTATTGTGTGTTTCCGCTCTATGTAAGCCGCGATCATCATTATGATTAGATCCTTTGACTTTATTACATTATGCAAGAGCTTAATCTGCCTATTGCAGGTCTTTCGTTAGGCCTGAAATGTTATCTAAACTATTAATTAGACATTAATTAATTTATCCAGACCATAATCAACTCTTGATGGCATCGCTAGCTTCCGATGTTTATTGGATTAGGTTCCGATTTGCTGTTCGACTTCCATTCAGGATTGAATCATGAAATGGATAATCCAGACTATGGGTTTTTTTTATCTTACCAGAGTGGAGCAATTTGACCGAAATTTTCAGGAAATCCCCTTGACATTATAGAGAGAACCGTCAGCTCTTTATCTAATCTCGCATGATGTATCTTTAATACATTATGAGTTATTAAATGGCGTAAGATTATTAAACTACAACAAACGTCCAGCCAGCTACTTACTATCGAAAACAACGTTATACATAACCAGCCACTCAATGTCATGCACGGCCAGAAGATCCACGCACCACCAGGCGCTGGTATTAGTATGGAACATACTGGAGTATTTAAGTCCATCCACACCGTTGGATGACTGATGAATATCCCATGTTGAACGTTGTGCAGTAGGCTTATGGAAGGCGATATTCTGTTCACCTGTAATGCAAAATTGTTCTATATAAACATAAAATTTACTCATTCCATGGACACAGGGGATCTTACCCCGATTATTACTTTAGCCTTCACTACATACGTAATCGTGCCGACGAAATCCTTTTGCGCAAAATTGAGTAGAATTGGAATCGGGTAGCTTTTTGGGGTACACTCAGGATTCTGCCAAACGCAAAATGAGGCAATTTGTATGTATTACATTTTTGTGAGTCTAGTAGGCACTGATGCAGTGGATTGATGTTCACAAAAACAAAGTTACAGACCATTTGGGACTCAGGGGCCAGAGCAAAGAAAATATAATAAATACATAAGTGAATTTCTGCGAGGGAAATGTTTGCCCGGATAGCCGCACCATGGCCTACACTTATATCCAATTCCAATTGCCAAGGGATCTTCTGCGTGCACACAGGACCTTGGGTTTTCGTCCCATCCAATCGACTAGACAGCTGTACTTAAAATCCCCTCTGTCCTGCACCACTGAAAGGAAAAGCACGCCGGAAAATACCGATGAACTTATTCGGCCAACACCGGGGGAGAACCCGCGACCTCCAGACTAGCGAACCAGTGCCTTAGTCAGTTAGTCACCCTGTGTCCTGAAAGGCGAAAATCTGGCGTGCTGGGTACGTGTAACGTAAAAGTAACCAATTTCGTGCAAGCGATTCACGACCCGCACTTGATGTGCACATGACAAATACACCTGACGAACGTGAAACGCAAGCCAGTAATGCGTATTAATGTTTTGATTCGGGATATCTATTCAAAGGTATTAAACAGTTTTATTTAGTTAAAAAATGGGACCAAAGAAGGGCTCAAGGAGTTAAGTCGACTGCTGCTTCAGAGAGGGAACAGGCAGTGTCGTCAGTAGGTATCCCCAAAGGTGTGCGAGAATGTCAAAGGCATTCACAACAGCACCTGATGTTATCCCACGAAAGCTGTAGGGCTTCCATCAACTAAGTTCGCAAGGGAAAGCGTCATCTGCCAGGGTATGTCCCTGTCATCTCCGGACAATGGTTCTCTGGGGGAACAAGGTGTGTTGAAGTTCCCACATTGGCATCAACACTTGCCCATACGAACTGGCATTGGGCACATACAAGACGCAAGAGTATTATGGAAACGAATCCTTTGTAATTGTCGTACTTTGACCCACTCTTCTTAATACGGATGTGTTTTCCGTCAATTGCTGATACACAATGGTGATAATTCCAGCGAGTAGCAAACTTAGCTGAGACCACGAGCCATATGTCTGCAGTGCAAGGAACGGTAAATAGCTTATCTCTTAAATAGCACGACACACCTCAGGCGTACAACATGAGTACAATTGCAGGATAAAAAGTCTCTATGCTCAGCCGGCGACCGTCCTCGGTGCCGAACATACAAAAGTCTCACGCAAGGGTTTTACTATCCCCCCCCCCCTCCGTAATATGGAAGGTTATCGCTGCCAATATTAAATGCTCTGCTACAACGTCTTTTCTATTGATTGTATGTAAAAAGTACAATGTATAAAGTCCTAATACCGCTAATGATGAAGTCAAAATACCTCTAAGACAAGAGTTAAATGTAAAACGTCAAATGTTAAAGATACATTATGGGAGATTTTTATAGAGAGTTGGACATTCTTGCTATAATAGTTCAAAAGTAGATGATGAAAGAAGAATATATTGAAAAATTCAGTCAAATTGCTTTATTCTGAACATAGTTATCATCGTTGTAATATTTGCCTAGAAATGGTAGCGAATTGTGTCGTCACCTTCGCTGATCGTTTGATTGACAGGCGTTAACTCCACCTACATATCTCGATTATCATGTAAAGTTTTCAATGGCATACGGAAACGCTTTACAGCGGCCCCGCTAAGTACACTCTATCATTTAGCCGCGATCTAACTGACGTATTTTCATCAGGTTACCGCTTATTTGATTTAATGAATTAGTGAAATCCTATTTAAATCCGAGCTGTAGCCGAGCCATCCGTGGGTCTACAGAGTTGATTTTGGTCTTGTTGTTTAAATAAAGATCTAATTTATAATTTCTATAACATCTGAAACCTAAATTAAGACTTGCAATAATCAGATTTAGCTCTTGCATAATGCATGTTTAAGTGTCAAATGACAACTGTTTTGTCGGAAAATGCTTTTTTTTACGTGTCCGCATTGTACATTTCTCTCATTACATTTTACATTCTGCCACATCCCATTTCTCCTTCATGCTTTCTACATAGCATCTTTCGCACAGCATCAAATTTAATATGCAAATTAAGGATATCACGTGACTTATTAAAATATACGCAAACCTGGCACACTATAAGCCAGAACAAGAATATTCAAGACACTCACTATAACAGGAATTCAGCTTAGCACACAATAAGAAATTTACTTACCTTGATACTTTGGATGGTACTTTACCATGATTACGGGCGGGGCGGGGGGACAAATACGAAATTCCAGGTATCATGTTACATATTAGTGAAAAGCACGTTCACTTCTATTTGTAAATATGTAAATCGTCTAATACAACCATTTCGATGCTTTTACCAGTCACAAGTCTGTTTGAACGTTATTACTGACCAAACTCATCAGATACATCATGTTAGTTATGATATCGTTTTTGAAAGGAAAGAGTCCACTGGCAAATCCAGCTGTTTTGTCTATACAATTCCTCCCCTAACTGTCTTGTGGCACCAAAGGGCGAGGTCATTACAGTATTACTTTAGTTTGCACACACAATAAGCACAAATGTGAGAATATATACAAACATAGGTGAGTGTATAGACAAATATAGATAAGTATACATAAAAAGTTTTATAGACAAGAAAATGCAACAGTAAAATTTTAGACAGGTCATTACACACTGAGAAAATAGCAACACGTATGGAATTTGTGGAAATATTACCGCCATATTGGATTTTTAAGTCTTAAATTTAACGTCACCAATGAACTTAGTGACCCCCAAAACAGATTCAAGATGAAGTTTATACAGTAAAAAATAATGATGATTTTTAATGAAATCTAATGGTTTGTTCACATTGAGCCAAGTGGCGTGGTTTTGCTTGTCCAACCTCGGAGGTCCCTCCCACTGCTAAAGACCCCAACACGCTAGCGAATTATTGAGATAAAAAATTGAACCAGGCATTAGTCCTGAAATGACCGAGTTTGTGTCGAGTGTATGTTACACCCCATTTCTCTCTCTCTTTCTCTGTGTGCCTAGATCTACTAGTATTAGATAATGATTTATCATCTTCCTCTTTCCATTTTTTATTTACCTAAGGTAACTTATTGTAGAAGTCTTTTAAAATGAATGCCTTACATTTACTTTTTTATATTTGAACGCTCACAGCTGAAGATGGAAATAGTGATAATGCTATTGTTGAGGAAGTTTTGGTGCAGTGCAATAATGTCAGGTCAAGGCGTCAATCAGCATTCAAACGTTCTTATGCAAAAGATTCTGTGGAAGAAAATTCACCACTGAAGAACAGAGAGCCATCTGCATTCCAGCCTTGTCTTCGTCAGCCTTTTTGTTTATAACTTCTACACAAGTTCTACATTATTTCAACATCTTTTTGTTGATAAGACATTAGCATGTGGAACAATTCGGGAAAGTAGGAAAGGTTTTCCAAAGACAAACCTCAATGGATCTCTAAAAGGGCTGCCATGAGGTTCAATTAGATGGTTACGAGACACTGATCTACTTTGTCAGATGGAAGGATACTCGTGATGTGACGATGTGTTCATCTTTTCACAAAGCCATTGGTATTGATACTGTTTTGAGAAAATCAAACAAAAACTGGTACTTTGGAGCATGTTGAAATTCCTATTCCCCCTGCAGTAAAGGAGTACAATATGTTTATGGGTGGGGTTGATTTGTCCGACCAGTTTATTCAGTATTATCAAGTTTTACGCAAACAACAAAATGGTACAAAATTTTATTTTTTCATTTTATAGATATTGCTATTGCAAATAGTTTTATTCTTTATAAGGAAATGTGTAAAATTTCAAATCAACCAACTTTATCACAGCGTGCGTTTAGACAGTTCCTAGTGTTGGAACTTGTTGGTGATAATATCTCAGAAGCTGTTGTTCCTCGTCCATTGCACTCTGTCCCCAATGGTCACCTCCCTACAGAAATTGCAGAAAATAATGACGAGATTTCAGGGTAGACAAAACTGTTAAATGTGCTGGGAATATCTAAAGAAAGGGTCTAAAACTACATGGAAAAGTTCTTCCTGTGGTGTGTCTGTGTGTACAATTCCCGGGAGAAATAGGCACAATGAAGCTATATCAAATCTAATTTTAAAAAACACAGATCCTATTACGTTTCGTTTTTTTTATAGTTCAAAATAATCATCGACCCACAATTGTAAATATCCTGTATATAATATATATTTTCATAAACTATATTAAATCCCTGCATGTCAATTATTATAGGCAACTTTGTGGCTAACATTTACAAATAAACACACATTATTTCATAATTTTAATTGATCATATTTCATAACTGGGTCTAATCCCAATGCCCTGTGGTTATTAGTCCATTTACAAAATTTTATGATTACCCGGTAAAACAAAAAACAAAAAAAAAAGGATCACCGCTTGTTAATGATTTCCATATTTAATTCACGTTCCGAATGTTCATGTCAATAATATTCCTGATTAAATTACTCTTTTTTGTTTATTCGACAAATACTGAAATCGAAACATTCTTGAAAAGAACAGTTCCGGGTGTCTAAATATCGTTTGTCGTCTTTATAAAAATGTATTTAAAACAAAAAAAAAATCACTCGTCAAAAGAGGCATCGCAGATTGCGTGTATTATTGTGTGTAAATTGTGCAGACCGTGGGAAAAAGTCGTGAAAGTTTCGCGCCAAATTTAACCGTTTTCACTGCATCTGTGTAGCATACAATAACTCATATGGCATGGTATCTTTTACGGTAATAGAATTCAAAGCGTTGATTGGCTGAGGCATGATCGCGAACTACAAAATGACATCAGGA